ATTTTTATATTATTTTTTGTTTTTTTTCTGATATTTTTTCGACAGCCTAAGAATATTTTCATATTTTTTATTCAATTTTTGGAATTTTTAAATTTTTTTATTATGATTGTTACTATTATTTTTGAATTATTTTTGTTTTATTTTTGGAATTTTTTATGATTTTTTTACGAGATCATGTAAATATTTTTGAATTATTTTATTTTTATTTTTGGAGTTTTTTCCAACAGCGTGGGAATATTTTCGGATTTTTTTTAGAACTAAGAATCCTGTCAGGAAACACTCCCATTATTTCATACTCAATCCCTCTAGGACGTTGAGAGCTATGACCCAATCCTGAACCCTGTCCTATCCTAGACGACAACAGATATCCCCAATTCTAATTATACATGTAGTAACTTCTAATTATAGTAACAACACATCTAAATATAGTAACAACTATTACATGATGTAATCTTTGTTGTGTCTATTTTTAGAATCATTACTGAGCTTGAGACTCTTAAGGAAGAGGCTTCAGAAGTTCAGAGGAAGATGGAGGAGACTGATACTGTTATGGCTGAAGTTGACAGAGTCTCCCAGCAATACCTGCCTCTCTCCACCTCCTGCTCTGCCATGTACTTCACTCTGGAGTCACTCAATCAGGTAATTGAAATTATGTGACTGTCGTGTGATTTAGCGGTACTTTACTTTGATGGTTTTGCTTGATAAATACATTAGGCCAGCTTTTAATTGGCAAATTTGTCCACGCATGTATTACTAAACATTTCACTATTGAAAATTTTGATTACAAAATGCCAAAAAAATTAATGTAAAAATGCCAAAAAGATTAATGTAAAAATCCCTGTACATGTACATGTACAGGGATTTATTCAGAAATTGGCATATTTTTTTAAATGGTCATAACTTGAAAAATTTAAGTCGGAATCAGCTCAAACTTTGTACATAGCATAAGTACATCAATATGTATCAGAAAATTTAATAAAATTTTGTGGTGATTTTTAAGCCATTTTTTGGAAAAAAAACTGTGGGCTATAGTCTAGGAATTTTTTCAGAGTTTGGCATATTTTTTTAGATGGACCTAGCTTGAAAAATTTAAGTCAGAATCAGTTCAAACTTTGTACATACCATAAGTACATCAATATCTATTAGAAAATTTAATAAGAATTGGGGATGATTTTTGAGCCATTTTTTGGAAAGAACTATGGGCTATATAGTACAGGGATTTTTTCAGAATTTGGCATATTTTTTTTACAATGACTGTTACTTGATTTTGAGGTGGTTTTTGAGCCATTTTTGGGAAAGCACATGTGCTTTTAGCTTTTGCTTTTTTCGGAAAATTTAATATTTTTAAAATTGCTGCATATTTTAAAATTAATATTTTTGTTGGAATCAGCTTAATGTCAGTATTAATAATAACTAATCATTTCTTATTATTTATTACATTATGATGCAAATGCATGTACTTATACTTATGTTGTGTAGAAAGTTTGAGCTCATCCCTCTGATCAAAACTCAATTTTTATAGATTTGTAAAGTTTTTACAAACTTAAATAAAAGTCCATGTACTATTATATACATGTTGTACAGGATCATGAGCCAGATTTTTGTAAATATTTATAATGTACATTAATTTTTCCCTCTTTTTCAAAGGCTGTACAAGCAGGAAACAGAAAGAAAGCCTCAAGGTATGGCAGCTGAACTAGAGAAAGTAAATCCTTTTCTTTCTTTCTTCTCCATAAAGTGACATATACCTCTTTATTTCCCTGTCTTATTGTTCTATTTTGTCTCTCCTCTCTCTCTCTCCCTCTCCATTCCCTCCAGTTAGGTGTAACACCAGAGACTCCTCAGGATAACCTGGTCTGGTCTAATGAGCAGCTAAGAGTTGATGGAGGACGAAGACAATCAACTCAAACAAGTTACCCTCATAATTTTGTTATGAGACACACTGACAGCATCACATGAACCATCAATTGAATCATGCAGTCAGTATGTACTAATAACATGCCCATTTGGAATTATTATTTTTGAAATTTTGGGATTTTATTGGAATATTTATAATAAAAAGAAAAACATTATAAATCAAAAAGACAAAAATAGCAATGATAATAATAACATTAGAAGTGTAAAACAGGCTAAGTATAATTATAATTTGTTAGGGGCTTTATCTGATGATAGAAACGATTCCACATCAGCTTTTACTTTACCAAGTTCATTTGGAAAATCGTCACAAACTTGAAGTACCTTTCTCCATGTCACTTCTTTATTGGAGTCTATCCATCTCTGGAAAACTAGTATTAGGTTAGTAGTAGCAGCCCCTGGAATAGGCAACAGATCATCCACTTTAACATCAAGTGCAGTCCCAATGAGCATATAATGGGCAGCAGAGTCTTTAAATAACCTAATGAGGTCACTCTGTTGTACTTCATTGCTCATCTTAACTGGTACTGCAAATTGAGAAGTAATACACAATAAGCAATACACTACACAATCAATGTTTACTCACTTTTACTTGTACTTCTGTCAGATGACAATTCATTAGCAGATGCTCCACAAGGGACTGAAACTGTAGCTGATCGTTCTAATTCATGAGAGGTGAATTAATATCAGTTTTTATCATCACTTACTAAACCAGCAGGACTGACGTGGTCCTATTTCCCTTGGTAAGCACTCATCATTAGTGCAGGTGATGTAAGATACAGCTTCATTAGGATGACACACTCCAGCTCCACAAGACAGGCAAAGAGCTCCGTCCAATGTATTGCTACTGTAGTAGAACTTGCTGGAGACAGACTGTATGGATCTATGGACAAAGTCTCTTAGCTTTGGACATGCATCCTGTACTGGACCAGCACAATATATCTCCAACCACTGGATAGTATCCACCAGTAGAATGTTAACTCCTAAATCTCTTGATTGTAGCTTGATGGCATTACGATAAGGTATCTGCTTTTTAAATAACATCTTAAATTCTTCCTTTAAAAGACTGACCACCAGTGCTGGGTACATTCCCTGTGGTATAACATTGTCTTCCCAACTTAGAACCAAAGGGTCACAGCTTTCACTAAACTGCCCCCTCATCTTTTCCAAGACATCAACTGCACATGTTTCCAGTACACAGGGAATGAAGTACTGATCCTCCTCCAGTGGTCCTATGATA